ATTATTAATTTTTATTTACAGATGATCTAACTTACATACCTATATCCAGTATATTTATCTGTCACTGCCATACGTGCTCGCGCTAAATCGAGTGGATAAGTTAAAGATTGAGATGTAATGCCTGCTAATGAACCTGCTACGAATCTTCGACCTTTTGTGCTAAAAAAAAATAAAAAATAATAATTTTAAATTTATTTTATAATGATTATAACTATCTTTAGACTTTCCCGGAGCTTTACTACTTTTTATAATAACTTTTTAAGAATTATAGGTTTCTCAAAAAACAATAATATATCATTTAAGAACTATAACTTTAAATGATCGATTGTTTAAAACAAAAGCTAATGGTTAAGTTTATTTATTATTTTAAGTGCTTAATAATAAAAATTGTTTTGTAGGATTCTATATATATTCTATATATAAATGTGTAATAAATACCCCCATGATTGAATATTAGCCTAACCATAAGAAGTGGACAGCAGGACTATATGTTATAGCCCGCAGGGCTTGAGCAGTTCCTTTGTAAGATGAAGAACAACACTTGATCGTCCAAACTTACGAGTGAATCCGGGACGTAGACCCTACCGTTCTTGGAACCGGGACCCATATATCGTCAATATTTATAAATATTTTTAGGATGTAGATCCATTCCGCACTATAATACCTCCGATCCCCACAAAATCAGTCCACTGTTAATATTACAAACTTAATGTGGGCCCACTCGTCAGGTTGCAACAAATTATAAAGTGGATTAATATTATTAAATAACGGATAACGCTACAATGAGACATATAAAATCTATATGGAGAGAGCCTTCTCAGTTAATTTACAAAAATAAATGCTGTTGCCAAATCTAATAAAGTCTATTTGTTCTAGACCCTAGATCTTCTTTAATCAAAAAAAGGGTACTGGAGTCGTTTTTTGGAAAATCGCATGACACGAATAGGTAAGATGACCGATGGTCTTTGACTGTATCAAACATAACCTGCAGTAGTCGGAGTCCCGAGGTTCCAATAGTAGTTAGGTATCAGCTTACAGGAACATCTTCAGTTAAGAACCACTATTTATTTTAAGTTTAATTTATTTAGACTGAGAAACTTCTCATTTGTGGTGTTGACTCGAAAGAGCCTTGTTTGTCCTTTTGGGGTTGGCAAGCATGATATACATATATATATATAAATTTGCTCTATATTAAATTAAGTTCTACATAATGTGACAAGTAGATATTTGGTAGATCAATTATTTGTCTGGAAAAGCGGAACGTCTAATTTGCATTGAGAGAGACTCGCAAATCTAACAGAAAAGGTTATATGAATTTATCTCGGTATGCATAAGCCAAGAATATGTGATATTTTCATACTGTAGTTTATCTAAATTTCTTGACAGCATCACCTACATTTTGATAGCTTAAATTTACCGTTCTCATATTATATCTAAAAATATATTGAAACAAAACTTATAAAAAGTTCTACTGGTAGCAAAAAGTACCTATCTTTAAAATTTACTTGAAACAATTACTTGTATGAGTTTGCTTAGTCCATTAGTATATTTATCTATGATAGTATTATATATCCAAGTTATTTTTATTATATTAGAGAAATTTAAACCTATTCTCGTAATATTCATACAATTTTATATGTGACAGTTAACCTCAGTTTTTGGTTATTGAAATTATTCTGAAACTTTTCAAGACGATCACCAGTATATATGTTTATTTGTACTATATATATCTTTTATCTTACTTACTCTGTGCCATCTTTATCCACCATAAGAATTTTTCTCCACTGTTCATGTGAACTAAATTGTATGGCAGCGTAAGGCACAATACGCGCCATGGTTGCAGAATTTCCACGCCATAACGCCAATAGGCCCTCTTTGGCATAAGTTTGTTTAAGGAAATCAATAGCGGCTCTAAATGAATATGGTACATCTTTGCTAGAATATTATATTTAATATTTGTAATATTAGTTTAGTGCAGTTTATTTAAAATATTTCAATGTACCTTATTTGAAAATTTATTTTCGTTCGATCCAACGGCGCAATAGTTGTCTTTGCGATAGCTCCAGCTGCAGCACCTGCTAATAAACTGATAAGGACGGCATCAAAATTTGTAGTGCCTTAAAGGGAATACAAATATGATGTTAATTCGATGCAGTGATATATATATATATAGTATCCATTAAAAAATATAATAAGTAATGTTTTTAAAGATCACTGCAGTATCAGGGATTGGAAAGAATATATTTTGGTCTGTACATATAAAAGTTGCATAAAAGAAAGTAATACCTAAGTGAAGATCATATTTTTGGTAAAGATATAAAACTCGGTAAAGCAGATAAAATATTACAATGTGTCGAGGAAATCCGACTCCTAATTCGTTAAAAGGGCACAAAAGATCTTGGAGCAAAATCCTCCAACTTAATAATATTTTAAATAAGAGGGGAACATTAACAATCAACAAATAAATTTCTGTCATGATTTAGGTTAATAGTTATAAGTAAAGCCCAAAGATATTTTTATAGCTTGATATTGACAGTATTTACATTAATAGTATGTCTTACTAATGCCAAATACAATATATTAAAGACAAATGGAGTAATATTATAGTTTGAGTAGGTTGTTTAGGTAACAACCCTAATCAATGTTAGGTTTTATCTTAACATAGAGCATTTAAAGATGAAGTCTAGTCATGTAAATAGATGCAATGAAAAAATAAACAGATGAATGGTGAGATATTGATTTAACCATATAATGATGTTCAGGAAACTTGTTAATAAGGTACATTAGGCATAATTAAGAAAGTGCTCTTCTATTGTAATACCTTCTTTATAGCAGATGTTGCCACAAAGATTACTCCTGAGATTATATCAAAGAAATTAATTTAAGGTCAATTGTACCATTAAGTACTATTTTTTTGATACAAGTATCAATATAACAGAATTAAATAATAATAAACTACATACAGAAGGCAAAAGTTGTAAAATTAAACTGGAATTTGCTTGTCATAATCAGCTTAATTATATATGTCAGAAATTTTAAAATATAGTAGAACACAACAATGTTTGGTAGTCTTTATATATACATTAATTTCTTACCTTCATCGAAATCTTTAGAGAGTTTGAAAAAAAGGTTCATCCTTATATCGTAAATTTTGCTATATGTTCTTCACTAAAATTTAAAGTGTTAGAAAAATGGTAAAAAATAAGCTGAAGCTATTCCGGTATTTTTATCAAGTTAAGTGCATAATAATAAAAACTCTTGAGAATAGGTATTGTTTAATCGGTTAGTTAAGCATGTTTAATTTAAGTCGCTTAGCAAAAGAACGCAACAGATAAAATGAAGAAAGTGTCATTTGGCGAAGTTTGTAGAATAAGAATGAAATATATATTAGCGATCTTTTCTTTTCTTTCTTTTTTTCTTCAGATTCATTAAGCGATGTGAAATTTCAGAAGATTTGTACGGTTCTTTTGTTTTACTAACTTGTTATATTGAGCAGTAACGGACTTATCCATCTTGTGACCTCTTATAATATATAAAACACTACAAAACTGTCGAAAGTATTTTTAACGCAAATACTTTCGACAGTATTTGCTTCTTTCAAGAAGCCTAATGAGACAAATAGATGATGTGTATCAAACTGTTTTCCTTGGGTCTTTTATTGCTACTACATTGTAGTATCTCTTAATATAAGTCAACGTCTCATAGATATTTCTTAATATATGTCTTGATCATAAGGAGTTGGTTGCCCCATTTTTCAAGGAAAGAACAAGCAAATACGCTGAACACATTATAACAATAAAACTATTATAATATACTATAATAGACTTTTTTATATTATTCTATTCTACACTACACTACCATACAGCATACCAAGTAATAAATCATTATCATCGGAGCAAATAGAGAAGAAAAATGAGGAGGCGGAGAAGGAAGAAAATGAAGAAAAGATGAAAACCATATAGCTCTGAGATAGACGCACAAAGTTGAATATGTATATAGTTTAAGAGCGAAAATTTGTTAGGTAAGGTTATGTTAGGGTGTCAGTCTTGTACCCAAGAAAGTCTACTTGAGCTCAAATGGCTCCTTGTGGTACCACAGAATTGGCGTTTGTTCATACATACTCTAAAGGTCAGCATACGACCAACGGCGAAAGGCAACGGCTCCCACATTAGGTAAAAATAACCCAACCTGACAGTTCTATGAACTTCGCTAAGTGCCCTCCCCCATCAATTAAAGATGAATCAACCTGACAGTTCTATGAACTTCGCTAAGTCCCCTCCTCCATTAATTAAAGATGAACCAACCTTACAGGTCTATGAACTGTACTAAGTCCCTAATTTTGCAGGATGACAGCTCGGTCAGGTTGGTAAGAAAAAGGACCCTGAAGACTTTAAATATTCTCCTAGCTAAAGATTAGTACTGACACATGAGATACAGCAGAGTTTCTTCCTCATCCTTAAAACCACAACCACGACAAAAGTCATTATTGGGTAAACCCAGTATGATAGTATGCCTACCTATTATGCAGTGGCCCGTCAGCACCAATATCGTAGTGCTGAGAAAAGATTTGGTAAAAAATAGAAGATTCTTTAATCCGAGTAGAATGAATGTTTACTTTCTCTGATAAAATAGTTTTTTCTTTACAGAAAATTAATGTACTGACCTTTTTTACTGGTTTGGCCTGTAAGGTTTTCGGTAGTTGTTGTTGTTGTAGTTGTAATTGGAGTTGCAGTTACTGTTGTTGCAGTTGCTGTGTTTAGTGACGCTGTGGTATTACTAAATGAAGCAGGTAAGGATGCGGCTGTTGCTGCTAATTGACTACTACTAGACGATGACTTAATGGGCATCGCTATATTTGGCTTGTCTATAAGATGGCTCATTGCACACTAAAAAGAATTATAAAAAAAAAATTACTAAGAAACTTTGTTTTAATTTTAAGTAAAATTAAAATTATGCAAATGAGGCTTCAAGTAAAAAAACTTAGATGGCTTCAATAACAGTGAACTTAATGATAGTGGTGTGCTTTAAAATAGATGAAAAAATTTAGTGCTGTAATTAGCCAATTTCGTTTATTTATAAAAATAGTAAGAGAAATGATAATATAGATATGATATAGAGTCATATTGCAATATACAGTTTTTGGATATTATATATTTAAATAGAAAGTGTTAAGAATTATTTTCTTTCTTTATATATGTATTATTTCACAAAGAAGAACATGTTGCATCGAAGAACGTGATAGTACCCGCAACTCTGTTTTCTTAAAAAAAGACGTATTACCACAGTTGTAAGCATAACCTAGCTTTTTTGTCGGGCGGTTCCGCAGAGTGTTCCGGAACTAGTTACTGGAAATAAGATTAGATATGTCGCACATATCCATATTTTGTTTAAAAGGCCTTTAAAAATTGTTTAGCCAAGAATAGCTAAAGACGTATACTTATCTTCAAGACATTTAGATTTTGCTTAAGAGGTATTTAAAATTTATTTAGCCAGGAATACCTAAAGACAGATATGTATTTTATGGGCTTCTAAATTTAAAAATTCCTCGAGTGAGGAAAACCCAAAGAGAGAAGTTTATCTTGATTTATAGAAATTAGTTTAAGTGGCAATTTGAGAATTATTTTGCTAGGAATAGCTAAAGACAGATGTGTACATTGTTTGTATATTAATTTGTTTAAGAGGCAATTAAAAATTGTCTAGTTGAGAATAGATAAAGACAGTTGTGAATAATTTCTGAGAAAATAAATTAATTAAATATTTTACTAAACAAATATTGTTTGTTCTTTCGTCAATTTACAAACTTATAAATAGAAAAATTAATTTTATTTATATATAATTTATTTTGCATACATATAATAATAATATGTTTGCCTAAGTGTACCGGTAGACGCAATTTGAAGAATTTATAGATATAATCTGCAATATCAATAATTTTATATATAAATCTTAGTTTTCATGGTCACGGCTACAAATTTGAAAAACAGAAGAGTACACACATTAATTTTTGGCTGCGTTTCAAAAAACACTTCATGATTATTTATATAATGCATATGTTAGGTGTATAAAATAAAAAATTAAGAAATATTTAAATGAATATTTATTTTTTACGAAAATGACATTTCAGAAATTAAGAAATTAATGGAAAAATTAAAGTATTTGAAGGTACCACATACTTTGAGTTCATTACTTTAAAAAAAAATATTTTTCAATTGATTTTCGTCGACACGAAACTAAGATACAGATACATTCTTTGTGACACCTTATACACGTATAGGTTAGGTTAGGTTCAGATACTAACAATTATCTGATACTGACAGTTATCAGCACTTACACTCGCAGGAATATATTGCTCATTGTGAAGCCCTCAATCATTATTTTAGGAGAGACGAGTTGCTAACCTTTGTTATCCTTATTAAACCATTCGGTTTTCCAGTTGAAGTTGAGGAGATTCAATAAGTTTGCCTTCGTTATCTCTTCCAAGCCAGTGAAAAAGTGATCACCACGACATTGAAGTCGCCTTGTCTGCAGTTAGGGAAAGATTCAATAAATTTGCGTTCGTTATCTCTTCCAAGCCAGTGAAAAAGTAATACCCACGACATTAAAGTCGCCTTGTCTGCAGTTCTGGAAAGAGACACAGGAAGTGGTTGATAGATTCTACCTCCTCTTTATCTTGGCAACTCCTGCATAATCCGCTTGTTGGAACTCGCCACTGTTGGAGCATAGGCGCAATGGCACAGTGCCCGTTAGTAGTCCAGTAAGTACACGAACTGCAGGTTTGCTGAAGCATTTCGTTTTATTTTTGTTCAAACTAGTCCCTAAGGTTCTAGCGACCTCACAGTCTTAGCGGTTAGCTCATAAATATACACGTGTATATATATATATACTCGTATTAAAATTAATTGACTGTTCAATTTCTTGATAAATAATTTACTTTTTATTTAATATTCATATTAATTTAATACAAGTGTTCATTGAAAATGCAATATATTTAATATTTACAATGACAATAAAAGACTAGTGGATTTTATTTCCCTATATATGGGTTTGTGGTAAAGACATATGTTATCTATCTATCACACGCCCATAGCAGCTAAACAGATATTATTGTTCACACAGTTTATCTATGCAATAATAAAATTATGAGACCGAATTGATAGTTTAAGTAAACAAAGCAGTGTATAGGTACATGGTTTGAGGGTCGAAAAAGAAGTGCAAATATGACTACATGGATACCCAAATAATCTCTAATAAAAGTTCAAAAAGTTCTTTGGTAATCCAAAAACTGAATACATGTGTTAATGTGTTTATGAGAAAAAAAATATATTATTTGCTGAACACTTTGCCAACTGATAATTTAATATTATTAATAAACACACATTTTCAGCATGTTTATGGCCTTTGTAAGTGATAAGAAAGATATTGGGAAAGTAAAAAAAAAATAAAATAGCAGAAACGCAAAAAAAATATATATAATAAATATATAAAAATATTTATAAACAAATAAATAATTGTAAATAAATCGTTCGTGGTCGAATGCATTTCATGAAAACATAGACCAAGACTCATTGAAAATATTTATTACTAAAGGTGAACGGCATTTGAGATAATTTCGCAAAGATAAAGAATGTATAAATTAAAATAATTAATTAATTAATTATTAAAAAGTGTAAATTTTAGTTTATTAATACTAAATTTCATTGTATAGTTGCAAATTGTATAGAACTGAAAATACATGTTAATTAAATGATTAATAAGTATACGCTTCAAATTCGCACAAAATCTATCTGAATTTAGATTCAAATAATTTACTTATATACGTATGAATGATTCGATAATACTATATATAAAAAATAAAATAGTTTGTTAAATAAAAATATTAGTCACGACTCCAACAAGTAATATTTATATAAAAAAAAGTTTAATGGAATTCATCTTGTAAAATACACTTTTAGTCGACGGAATAAACCCATTTCTGAAGCGGTTGGTGATTGTCGAATCGTGGTAAGCCGGCTAAAACGGTGGCCAAGCTAGGATTGACCCTAGTAAGACTTTTGTGTGTGTTTGGTAGAATTGGCAGAGAATCATCTGCTTACTATGAGCTGCTGCCCTATGGCAATACTCTTAACACGAAACCATACTCTTAACAATTGGACCGTCTAAAGGAAGGAATCGCTGAGAAATGGTCAGCTTTTGGCAAAAGGAGACGCGAGTCATCGACAAGGACTCGCCAAAAGCTTCAGAATCTTGGTTGGGAAGTTCTTATGCATCCACCTTATAGTTCAGACTTGCCACCAAATGATAACCATCTGTTCCTGTCC